GACAGCCGCTCAGCTGCCTGTGAAGCAGACACCTCCCCTAGAATAGTGCTTTTTACCCGCGCCTTCTCCAGTACGACCTTTACCAGACCCCATCTGGTTAGGCCACGCTTAACCCAACGTGAAACCTCAACCAGATTTTTTGTAGCTATTTCTGAACCACGGCATTCCCAATGTAGCTGCTCACCGGTCGTGAAGACCCCATTAGCCTATAAAATATCGTGTATGGTTTTGCTGCCTTGGGTTGTACAGGGAGACTTTGCGGCGATGGGTCTCCTGTGCGTCACATGAAGTCTCGATATTGCTTCCACAAATCTTTCCGAAGCAAGATTAAGTCGTCTGACCACATACAACTCCAATATTTTTCGCAATAGGCATTGAAAATAGTCCGTGGAGTGTTGTAAGACTGGTAATAATATATGTCCTAAGCTAAAGCCGAGGGCTGGACCATGAACATCTATTTTCATGTCCTAAAATTAGATGTTCTTTTTTTGGTGCCTACATTATTCCTGTATTCATAAGTATTCTGCTTGAATAAAATAGCAGAGCAAGCCCGGATCTTGTTATTTTAACTGGCGTGTGTCTCAAACTCTTTCTATAAAAATATCGCAGGATCGTTTTTTAGCAGATATACAGTTAGCACTTGGCACCGACACCCACACTCGAGAACTGCCAAAGCCTTCCCTCCGGCCGGCCGCGGCGCGCTGCCCTCTCCGCTATTGGACAGCTCCTCGGAGATACCGATATCCACGTGTTGTTGTTTTATCATTTAAACACAGATCAGGCGGGAGTTTCTGTTAAATTGTGGGGTGTTTTTTTTCCCCCTCTCTCTCTCTCTGTTGCGCTTTTTTGTTTCCTTCGGAATGACGCTATAGCTCGTTGAATCCCCGCTCAGGAAGAAGAAGAAGAAGAAGAAGAAGAAGGAGAAAAACGTTAGAGCGGGTTATTTCTTTCTTTCTCCTTCCTCCTTCCACCACCTGCTGCACCTCGACCCCAGCTGTAGATTCGTTAAGGTATTTCCACCTGCGTCCGCCGACCGCCCCGAGATGGGAAACAGTGAATCCTTCCCCGTGCCGAGCAGGCAGTCCTGGAGCGCGCTGTCCCCCCCGGTCAAAGGCGCCGACTGGCAGCGAGCGGGCGGCACGGCCGGTGAGTGACTCCCGTTGTTTCCACTCGGCGCTGCGGCGTTTGACAGGGGCGCTTTCCGGCTCCTCGTTTCCCCCCCACGCTTTCCCACGGCCAGCACGCCGCGTGTGTGTGCAGCGAGATTAAAAACAAAAGAGAGAGAGAGACAGAAGAGAAGTTGGCTCGGGATGGCGTGGGCTGCACACGGCGGGCGTTGTGTTCCGAGAAACACGCCAGGTGACACACGGGGGTAAACCTGCCGTTTCTTACAGGCAAGATAGGAGCGCCGTGCCCTTCGGGGTCCCGTGGACAGAAATCCGATCGCAATCTTTCCAACTATTGTCGTGCATTTTTTTCCCAGTCAATACCTGCCAGTTACCACACGGGACTCCTGCGTGCAGTGTATTCCATTTGAAAAATGAAAATCCCAACCGCTCCCCTAGGAAATATCCACCTGACAGCAGCTGTTGCTGCTAATTGGCATGTTACCATTATTGACTAAAGACGGTCGCTCTTTTTTTAATGAATGCGTTTTTTGTTGTTGCTGCTGGTATTGCTATTTATCAATTTCGGGGTGAAAACAAATGTATTTAATGCTGTATTGAAAATGTTTACTCTTTGACGAGAAGTTTACTGAACTGTGGTTTTGTAATTATAAGGTATCCACTTAAAAAAAATGGATTAAAATAATTCGTTTATTTTCGACACGTTGTTCAAAAGTACTCTGAAACCCAACGTACCCTAATCCGGCTGTTATGTGCGATTTGTGCCGAAGAATAAGGGTGCACAATGCGTGGACCAACCTGTGATTGACTCAGCTATCCAACACACTTCGATAGGCCTGGAAAGGTTGTTTTACTGAATCCAGCAAATGCGTCTTAATCAAGATGAGTTACATTTGCGTGTTCATTGGTTAAATTGCCCTGAAGACTCCTGTGGCCTTTTCCCTCCCGTCAATTTTACTCTGGAAAGAAATGAGTACCTTAAAGATCAGAATTTAACAGGTAGGCATCAGTCGCTAAAGTTTGACAGTTGTTCGGATTCTAAATTGGATTGGCGTTGTGGTGTGTAGTTCTGAAACCTCTAGACTAGATTTTAATAATTTGCTTAAGAAACAGTCTGGCTGTTGTACCACACATGCTGTTTCTGGGGGTACAGAGTACAGAAGGTCTTCCAGTTGTGCTCAAAGCTGGGTTTTGGAAAAGCTTTAATGAAACTGAATGAAGCTGACAATAATTCTCAAGTTGTGTTTGAACCGATGACAAAGCCATACGTCCATTTTAAAACAAATGATGATCTCACAGCTCCTCCTGTACACCGCTGGAATTTCATGTCATATTGCTCTGCTTTGGCTCGTGGGGTTTGGTTTTATACAAACTGTTCTGTTTTTTTCTGTCTTTTGAGGTTTTGATAACACCTAATTGGCAAAGGTTATGTACTGCAGGTGTCCTGTTTTTTCTTCTCTTTGGCTGAATGCACCTTCAGAATGACCAGAACACTGGTTTGGTTTGGCTGTTTTATAGTGGTTTTGTTTGGCAGTTTGGCAACTTGTGATGATTCATTTACTCAAGGTGTTCCACAAGGTTCAGTTCAGGCACCTTTCCTATCTAGTACATCCAGTAAATGAAGCCACTTGGCCAGATAATTCACAATCGTGGACTTGGGTTTCAAATTATGCTGATGACACAAATTTAAAAGGAGACTAATTTTGCTAGAACCATGGTGCTTTCTGTCTAACATTAAGATATGGATTTAGAGACCGTGCAAAATGTAGAGATTTTTAAATCTCACTTAAAGACTTATTTTAGGCTACAGCTTTAATGTATAATTTGGTTTTCTGTTGGTTATGACTGTGGTTCCTTTTTTTGGGGGGGCACCCGCACTTAAGGTTTTGAAAAGTGCTAATAAATAAATGTTTGTTAGGCTACTGTATACTGTGTACATTTTGCACTGTGTACATTTTTACAAATTGCATACTTGAGTCAAGTATACCAATGAGTAAAAATTAGATATTTACTACATTAAAAGGTAAAAACATGGGACCATTGCAGCCTATGGGCCTGTCCTGGACTGCATTTGGCAGGAGTGACATGGGAGGCACTGTATGCAAATACTGTCATTGCACCTTGAAATTCAGTTCTGATCATGTGTCTGATGTCAGTTCTGATCATGTGTCTGATGATCTTACCTACTCTTGAGACTCTAGTGGTGCCAATATGATCTGGAGAGCTCTAAGTGGAAGTGGTGGACTCCATCTCTTGAGGTGGACATTGCTGTTGCCACCTTAGTTCTAATCGGCACCTGTCTTCCACATTTAAAACATTACTAAGAGCATTGCAATCCAGTGCATCGGAGCAGAGCTACAACATAACTATTAAAGCAAGTTGAAAGAAGGCTGACTTGTCCAATAATCCTTCTTCTGCTTGGTGGAACTGGATCACACAGGTCTTACTAGACCTTACCTTCAACAAATGCTTTCAATCAGCTCTGGACTTCAAATACATGCGCGTGTATGATCTGGGCTTTGAAGCCTGCTTTGTGATGTACGTTAATGCATTTAAAGATTAAAAATATATTTTTTAATCTGCATTTTATATAGTTTAACTTTTTTGATCCGGTTCTTGAGACACAGGGCCAGGAGGCTCACACTGCTGCAACCAAAACCCCAAATCTGCAGCACATTCAAGCATGCATTTTGTATAATACTGTCTGTTTAATACTGGCTGTCAGGAAATACACCGTCTTGCCCTCAGATTTAGCCAGGTGTGTGCAAGTGCTGACTGAGCTCCTGATTGATTTTAATGGATGTCTTGTTTTCGTTTGATCTGCACTCGAGTGAGCACACACCTCCTCGTCTGCTCTAATCCGGTCCGATGGGAGAGGGATTGTGTGTCATTCATCATACTGTGCCGTGCTGGGCTGGCTCTCTCTGGACAGCAATGACTTTCTCTCTGCGTGTCGCTGCCTGGACCGTTTCGTTCAGCTTCTAAAAGATGAAGCAAATTCTGTGAAGCTGCAAATAATAAGCAAGAAGGAACAAGTGTGTCGGAGGTAATTTACCATTTAATAGGCAGAAGAAAGCCTTGGCACAGGAGAAGTGAGAGATTGAGATCGTCTGTAAATTACAGTTGGCATCATGGATTTTTGATGTTGTCTTAATTTTGTAATGAAATAGACAGCTTCCAGCTCTCTGATCTCTTTTACACATGTTGTACATCCAAATCAATTTAAATTTTATATTTTTGATTTGACGTTTTATTGATTTATTCTTCCCGTGTTACAATTACGGTATTATACATCTGTTTTAATAGTACTAATATCCTTACACGTACTGTATATAATGCTTTTCTAGACACTCCACTCAAAGCACCTTACAGGTGATGGGGATCCCCTCCACCACCACCACCAGTGTGCAGCCCCACCTGGATGATGCTCCAGTCCTCTCCCCACACACCAGCTCTCAGTGGGGAGGAGAGTGAGGAAGCCAGTTCAGAGATGGGGATTAATTAGGAGGCCATGATTAGTAAAGGCCAGGGAAAACTTTGGCCAGGACACTGGGGTAACTAACACCCCTACTCTTTTTTCGAAAACCCTGGGATTTTTAATGACTGCAGAGAATCAGCACCTCAGTTTTTGTAGATTTACTGTGTTTCCATCCTGTGTATAAATACCAAGAAGTGACACAATACAGCACTTTTGTTTCTTCCCACCTTATATAATGTTAACATCAATGGTCGTTTGGAGTACGAGTTACAATTAATTAAGTGCATCCAACTGTCTAAGCATGTTTAGGCACACAATTATATGAAAATACAATAGCCTCTTTAAGCGGAATAATTCAGTGACAATGATGCCACTTGCCTTGTCTGCAAACACCATGAGCTGACTGGAGACTAGCAATACAGCTGAGCCTCGTCTTAGAAAACAAAAATATTATGGAAGGCTTAGCCTTAAAAACGATACAGCTGTGGAACAAAACCAGAAAACCTCCAGTCTGACAAAAATACTAAGTCAAATAGTTTCAACAAACCATGCCATTGAACAATGTACTAAACTTACACGTGTTTATTTCTGCAGTAGGACGTGTTACAATAATGTGACAGGCTTCTCCATCAACCCGGGATGATTGCCCGTTAAATGAGCGACGCATCATAAATCGAGCGTTCAGGGCCGACTGCTGATGACTCCAGAGAAGGAGTAAATCAGATAAATAGCTCCCCAGCAATCACTCACTGCAGGCCGAGATGGATGCACTTGTCTGTTCCGTGTTAGTTTAGTCTGGCGAGAGCTGTTACGAAGTCTCCGTCCTCGACAGGCCGTTCGGTGGGGTGACGCACAACGCGGGTCGACAAGGAGCAGAGAAGCGCGATTTTTTTTTTTCAATAAAAGCTGGAGCCAAGAGTGCGGGTGGTACTCTCGACCTCCGAGAGCCGGTGAAATCTGAGGGCTGTTTTTATTTATTCATCACTTCTGCATTCTCGCTTTGCCAGAGTCCTATAAATTTAGCCCTTTCAGCGCTGTTTAATTTTCCTTTATCATAATATTTATCTTCACGTAAGAGAAGGGGCCCAGAAAGGCAGCAAGGCCCGTTGGAGTTTATTTATAGTATTGTTCTCCAAATCATCTCTGTGTTGCCTCAGCGACTGGGCAATCCGACATTTTAACTCCGATCACCAAGGGGTTAAATTATCTGCGCATCCACGTCTGTAAAGAAGGTTTCATAATTTCACAGATGCTGATTTTCTAAATTAAAAAAAAAATCTACAAACAAGAGGGTATAAAAGCTTATTGGCTCCACCGGGGGAAAATATTGGGTTTAAACACAATAATTATTTTTTCTTCGTGAAAATGTAACATTGTGGGGGGCACTACTATTGCATATATACGGCAATATATTCATAATATTTCCCCATTATTTACACAATATCTTCACACTCCCCTTTGTGCAAATATAATTAACATAAAACAATTACGATGTCTCACCAGTTAGACCTATACCCACTAGTGGTTTACAGCCGTTCTGTATACATAAAACACAAAAAGGTTTCAGCCTATGCTTATATGGAATGCATCTGAATTTGGTTTTACACAGCAGCCAGCAAGACACGTGTCGTGTGAAGGGACAAGGAACTGACAGTATTTCCGCGTCGGTCCGCAGTCATGAACGTAATGAAATACGGCAATGCAACCCTCAAAATCCCAAAACAATTCAAGGTCGCCACGCCAGGCTGCTTGCCGTAGCCAACAGAGTAACGCATTTATGAAGAGAGGCCTGTAGGTGGCGATGTGTTAGCATCAGTATTTTGAAAATAACGCAGTTATTATCCGTGCATTATCTCGCAATACTTTTTCTCCGTGGCGCTAATAGGCTTCCGTAAGAGGGTTCTATCTTACATTAGAAATATCAGAATTTGTAATTGACTGCAATGAAATAGTGATTGAAGTTCAACCTTCTCTTGCCTGATAAACGGTATTGGTACCTGTAATCGACCAATTGCAAGCGAATTATGCACACAACCATTGTTTTATGATAAATGGTGTACAATAAATGTTTAAGAAACACTTGTATAAATGTACACTGCTCTATACATTAAAATGGGGATTATATTTTATTGGCACACTGATTAACCTTACACCTGGCTGACAGTAGTGTAAAGGAGATACTCACGTGTTGCTACTGTACATTGCTGACAGGGGAGAGTTCACAGTTCGGATGGCAGTGGAAGAGAGGCTGAGGGTGAGGCAGGCAGCTGTGAGCTGGAGGGGAGGATTCTGAAGTAAACCTGTAGGCATGATCGGAGGTACAGCTCGTGTCTACAGAGAGAGTTCATGATCTGTGATCTGTGGTGCCCTGGACATGATCCTCTCCGGTTTTTCTGTTGTACAGCTGTCCAAATTCCCATACCAAACTGTGATGGAAGCTCTCAGGACACTTTGATCCTGGCTGTGTAGAGCTGATGAGGAAGCTGCCGGTTCTCTCTGTGTTTCTTACCTTGCCTGAGAAAGTACATCCTCTGCTGCCCCTTCTTAACAATATGATAACGTGTTGGTGCTCCATTCATGTCGTTACTTATGTATGATCCCTAAAATCTGAAGGAATGTGTCGTCACTATAGGGCGGTGCTTCATGATGAAAATCTTCACCTCGGCCTTCAGACCTGCCTTTCAGTGCAGCCGAATGTGTGCCGATCCTAACTGACTCCTGGCCGAGTGGGCTTCCGGTGTGTACCACATGAACTATAAAATCCATGTGGAGATACCTACTGAACCAAAGAGTAAAATGGCTCCCATTTCTGAAAACAGAGTGAAAGCCCCAATGGGAGAACCCCCAGTTTTATATAGAACGGCAAATTCAATATGTTGTAGTCTCCTTAAAAAAAATATTTTCATGGCAGGCCCATGTATCCTCGTGTATCCTCGTGTATCTAAATGCGTCTATTTATATATTCACACTTATGCATACAATATAGTACAATCTGACAGCCTTGAATTAGCTGGTGATGGAAGAAGGGCCTTCTGGCACTCCAGAGCTCCCTGCTGCCTGAAGAGGCCCTGTGTGTCTCATAGTTGGGATGTTTTTGAGAGATGGGGTATAAATACTGGCAAGAGATGAAGTGGAGGTGATTCTGATATTTGATATAATTTAATTAATTCTGAACAAACTGCACGGTTTGTTTAACTAACGGTACATATAAATTAGAAGCTTATTTATGCCTACTGAGTCATGCGACCTTTCTCCCCTTGCAGCACTACAACCTTTCTGGCTGTGGCGCACATAGTTAAGCTACACCTTTGTATGAATGCCAGATGTTTTTTTTAGCAAATGCACCACGACATTTCTGTGATAGGTCAGCACAGGAAGTCCATCATCGCCTTGCCCTTTAAACAAAGAAACAGCAAGAACATCCTACTTGTTACCCATTTTTAACAGCTCGATTCCCATCCAAGTCCACCTCTCTGGCCCTAAGGCAGGGATTTTGGGAAAGGGAGGAAGAGAACTTCTTTTATTTTTTCCTAACCATAATATGGTAGTCAGCACTCGGCCAGAAAAACTTCATTGTGCTATAAACATCTGAACTACTGCAAATAGAGCATATCTCCCTGATCTGATTATAGCAAAGACTGACTGACACATGATATTGATAACTGCAAAAAAAAATGAAAAAATTCTAAATATAAGGTTTCAGCTGACATTTATAATGTAGCTGCAAATTGGGACAGGCTGCAGTTATGCATTCCTGCTCCTGTAAGTTGTCCAACCACAATCATTTTCTAAAAGTGACTAACTGCTCAGTTGGTCATAAACTGCGGGGGACTGTATTTCTCTTACTGCGTTGGAAAACACCAATGAATCGATCCAGGCATTGGTATGGTTGTGATAACCAGCTGCTGATCGGATGTGAAATGGTTTTAATGTCCGGTATCTAAGATCGAAAATGCATTCACCGGGAGCGCTCCTTCTGTCTTCCAAATAGGAAGTGCGTGCCTTTTTCCCATGAAGAGACAACCCTGTAACGGAGCTTTTCTCTGGAGGGAGAAGTTCGTGTCTGGGTAGCAGTGTGGGATGTTTCCCATGGCTGTCTGGGGAGGGTTAGGGCAGAGCTGCCCATAATCTGAGAGAGCTGTGGGAGGGCAGGAATGTGTTCTGGCTCCGCTCAGATGACAGAAGGATGGAAGGACTATGTAAATCTTGTCTCTCTTACACTTCCAGAGCTCTACAGCACGCCTGCTGCTATCGGGAGGACAGTACCTTCTGAAAAAAGACTAGCCAGTTTCATTAGTCACCACAGCTGGAACACAGCGGCGCACCGGAACACTGACATGTCTGAACTTTTCAATCTTCAGTGGAAAGATCCAGTTTTTCAAATGCATTTGATTTCCAACATGCGCAAAAGAAACACAAATCTACTGTTTTATGTTTTAACTATTACTAAGAAGCAAACTATAGCTTTTTTAAATGACTCTTTTTTTTTTTAAATGAAATGAAAGTTTCACGGTCAAGAGAGACCAAAGTGACCTAGTGATTTTGAGCTTCATAGAAATGTAGGTCAGTAAGCTTGTATGATTTTAGCCAGAATGTCTCTGTTTCACTGTTTCAGAATAGTCTTGCATTTTAGTACATTTGGCCAAACTCTCTATGCTTGCAAAGTAGAACTTTTCAGATTTTTTCCCTAGCCAAGGACTCAGTGGATACCTTCAGTTGTAACTCATCTGTAAATGTCATACACGAAATGTCTCATTGGATGGTGTTCACTGGAGAGCCAGGGTCTGGTCATGTGGTACAGTTCAGACTCGGCTGTAGCTCTTACCCCACCAATCACAGTCCCTCTGTGAGGATGAATAAGTCAAACTGACTGCTTAGAATTCATTCTGAAACCTGTTCCGACATCTCTGTGGTGTAAACGAGCCTGCGTGGTTTTGGGAGTTTTCATCATTTGAAGGTTAAAAAAGGGTATAGAGAATGTGAGGCATTTCTGTTAAAAGAGTCTTCAGTGCAGCTGAAACGCTGTGTGGAATATCACAGCCTCCTGATTTAAGCACTGCAACAGAATAGCTTCTAGCTTCAGTATTTTGTATTCCGTATTTCAGCTTGAAGAAGTTAAATGCTTGACCCTTATTAACCATTTTTAAAACGACAGTTCCATTTTGTTACATGTTAAGGAAAATATGAAAAGAACAATTTACATCTTAGTGCAAGAGGTGGCAGGTTTCAGAATATTTTCAGTCTTATCTGTACTGAGTGTTCAAGCATTGGATGAGGTTATGAACTGAACCTGTACCGCAGCATAAATATAAACCAGTTAGCATTTCTCACTGAGAACATTCACATGTATAAAACGTCTGAAGCTGAACCTCAGTGAGAGCCTCCTTAGTGTTCTCCTTAGTTTCTAGCTGAAAGTGCCTTGTGCAGTGATAGCGATACTCTCTGATCCAGTCGAATTAAAAGCTGTAAAGTGACCTGGGCTGGTTAGATCCTTGCTTAAGTGGGTTAATCCTAAAAGCCTGCATCATGGAAAGGCAGGAGCCAAACCGCACGTCAGGAGTGATGCTCAGAACGAGATCTGACTCAAAGCCGTTCCAGTCCCCTCCATGGGCTCAGTGTGTGTTTGCAGAGTGTCTTCTGGAGAGATGCCCACTCTGTGTGGATGGGGGAGTTTGCCAGCTCCACAGGTAACATGAAAAGCGATTTGGGTGTCAGTCAAGCTTTTAAGGAGCCTGGTAATAAGGTGTGAGAGTGGATAAGCATTTTACACACATTAGGGGTGATTATCTGTCATACAGCAGAGGCCTTTTCAGCAGGAGACTGGAACGACCAGAGATGAACATCAGACATATAATGAGTCAGCACCAGAGCCAGTGCCTGAAATGAATCTCCTGGTAATAGATACTTTACCTTAGTCTCTGAATTTATGTTCTTTGTCTCATATAAGGTTTAATCATAACAGTGGCTTGTTTTCCAGCTGCTTTTATCAGACATTTGTATTGAAATTAAAAAAAAAACAGGATACAGATACTTGGCCAATTGTGAGACAAAGCAAGGACACCAAAATTAACTTATGAATAAATCTGTAACACTGACACTGTTCCTAACAGGAATGTGTTGTCTGAGCTTCTACATTCCGTGCATTTTCAATTCTGTGGAGCTTGAGCCTCAAGTGACATCCACAGGGTGAAACCAGTCTCCTCCCACTTTAGTTTACGGCCCCTCCTTCAGCAGACACGGAGTGATGCATCAAACATGCTTCTAAAAGAAGCTGAATTTTCGGTTAATACCAGGTACATCCAGTAGGTGGCAGTTTTGTGTCCTCTTGCTTGGAGACCTCTTGGAATTCATGGAGCTCTGGGGACTTCCAGAAAATGTGGCCCTCTGCTTCTTCTTTTTTTTCCCCCTAGAAAATGTTTGTCCAGTCTATTTCTGGGATACCCTGGAGAGATATTTAAGTCAAGGTCATCACATCTCTTCCTGTCTGCATTTCTGTTTGTAGTAGCATTACACAATGACTAAGTGTAACTCGGCTAATTCTCAAATGAGCATCACAACAGGAGCGGCCATGTCTATCATCACAGTTCACCTAGGTGAAGGCCACTGGTGTGATGACGACAGAGGTCAAATATTCCTCCAAGGAGTGACCACTTTTAACAGCTCTTGCCGGATAAGAACATAAGGTTAAAAAGTGAGACTTGAAAATTCAGCCCAGTTTGCTCATTATTTTGTGAGTTACGTCTTGATCGGAGCATCCAGACGCCCTGTGTCTTGAGAGATCTCAGTGAATCAGCTTCAGTCGTGGCTCAGCAACTTGTTTCTGACACCCACCACCCTTTGTGTAAAAATAGCCTCCTGTTTTCTGCCCTGGGTACGATTGTGCACAACAGATTATCGTACGTGGTGGTAATAATACATTATTGTTTGCTATTTCAGGTCTTTTCCTCTCTTGTTTTTGTATTTCAATTCACTGTGCTCCTACAATAATTCTAAAACACTGGTTGCATTGTCTGCAGTAGTGTACCCTTCAGGCATGTGTGTTTACTGCATGAAAGAAGATGTAACCTCCAACTGTGATGATGGCTATTTTCAGGTGGATCTTGACACTGTAGCATTTAAAAGGAAAACAGCTGGCAATTACAGCCCTGGCCTGTTGTGTTCATGGAAAAGCTTCTCCGAAAGAAACCGCAGCTCTGACATCTGGATACCGGGTGGCAGTGCTTATAGAAGTAATGTCCCACAAGAAAATAAGGAGGTAAAAGAAACAATTGCACACAAAAACAATAAAGCCTGCGGAGTGATGGCTCTTGAGTGATCTGAAGGAAACTGATCGTTTCTGGTGATGGGCGGTCTCCCTCTTCTGCTCTCCTGCAGTGACAGAGGGTGTAGTGAGACGGGCACTTGCAGATCAGCGCAAACACAAGCCCAGATCACAGAAGAGCCTCATCCTGCCTGCACAATGTCATTCTTATTTTTAATTAGCATTCCTTGTGTTTACTGACATGCAGAAGTATTTGTCCCAGACCTCCTCCTTTCTTGCTGTCTCTCTGGTGTCCTCCTCCACCACGGCCCTGCCCTCCTCTGAATCGCTCTGCGTTGGCTGTTTGTTTCCCCTCGTGGGGACACTCTTGGGGTAATGCTGTCCTGTGCGTTACACTTGTCCTGTCCCCCATGTCCCCTCACCAGTGCTGCTCCTGTGGGCGGCTAGGACACCCTCAAGTACTGTCAGAACAAAAGCTGAAAAAAAGGCTGCAAACCATATCTCCCAGATGTCCATGGAGAACCGCAGTTGAGTGCTACAGTACATTTTAGTAAAATCTGAATAGCTCTTTTGTTAGAGGAGTGACAAGAGGAAAATTTGACCTTTTCATTCCACATAATAAATGGATTCCAAATATTGTTTCAATTATTAGCATTGGTTAGATGAAAAAAATTAGCTTCAGCAGTAAATATTGTTGATAAATGTGGTATGTACTTCTAATGCCTTGGTATTATTTTTATGTTATAATAATAAATATCCAGCCAGCAAAGTTTTTTTATATAAATCTACTGGTGTACTTGCAGCCTTAATGAAATTCAAAGAGGACAGTTTGAACCGCCATTGATAAAGCCAAGGAGAGGGTGGCTAATTGGTGGTGTGTCATTTTCCAGTCTTCTTAAATGACCTATTAACGGAGGGGCTATAAATGAGAAGGAAGGATTCCTGGCGATGATTTTTGACTGTCTTGCACTACGTTAGCTTTGTTGTGGAAAGGCTTCATCTCTGATTTTCCCTTTCAAAGCTACAAGATCCATGAGGCAGGTTCTTCTCAGCTCTGTTCTTGGAGAGCCCAGTGTCTGATATGTTTCACATTTCTAAAGTGGATGAAAAAAGCAGAGCAGGTATGTAGACAGCTAGGATCTTTTCCGTTTTCTGTGAAACATTATAGATGACTCTGGCAAACCAAATGCTAGGATACTTCGTTTAGTTAAAAATGTAGAATTTAAGTCAAAGCATCTTCTGTTCAAAATTCAGGACTCATTTAGAATGTTGGTAATTTGTGTCACAAAATGGTGCAGTTTTTTTGCACCACATTATGGGAAAGATAATGCTTCTCTGGCATCGGTCTACAGAACAAACTAAAAAGAATGTCCTGCCCTGAGAGGCTGAAAGAACTAAACCTCTTTAGTCTTTAGTCTTGAACTGAGAAGGCGAGGAGGGATCCTGATACAAGCATTCAAAACCCACAAGGGTCAACCCAGGGGTTCTTCAGAATGAGCAGTGAAACAGGAAGTAGGACAAGAGACAGTTCTGTACCCAAAGGCTTGTGGGAGTGTGGAACAAGCCGCTGAAGCCCAGGCCTAGGCTTCCTTTAAGAAATGGTTGAATGTGATGCATGGATCAGTGAGCTCCTTCCTACCAGACGGGCTGAATGGGCCCACTGGACTCTCGTTTGTATCCTTTCTTATGTCCCTATGACTCATCAGGCGCCTGCAGTGGCATCACTGAAGGACTGGCCACTCCGCCCACTGTCACCGACCTCCTGTAAAGCACCAGGGAACTTTCCATGTGTCAGAAGATGAATGATCCGGCATCAGAGGCACATGTCTGCACATCTTCATTGTTCCAGCGCAGCACAGAGGGCTTAAACTTTAAAACAGCTGTCAGTTCCAAACTGGGTGGGTATATATATATTACAAAACAAAACACACCAAACTTTGTTTAAAACATATTCAAACAAAAGTTAATTAATAAGTTCTTTGGAAATGAATAAGTTCCTTGGAAGTTTGAGGAATTGTGAATCGAGGTTTGTGAGGGGGTGGCAGACCCTGAGAGTCACACACTGAAGCCCAGTCCATCAGGTATCTGAGATTCCATGTTTATTCCCTCTGGTGTGCACTTGTAAATGTTTTATTAAAGCCACTACGACCTCATTGTTCTGACACATTACCCAGCTGTTTGGTGGCGTGACAGTGCTTAGTTAAACATTTAAACCTGCCTCTATAATTCATTGCTGTTTCTCTTCCCTCGTTAAACCATTTTCCTGCTTCTATACAAACTCTTCCTAAACATCTACATAGCGTGTATGATACACTGGCGGCTACTCACAGTCAAACCACAAACCTTGGAGCCCTTTTTTGCTAATGAATTTTAGTTTGCTTCTAAGCAATCAAGCCAATATTTTAACATCCATCTTTTTCCTGTATATCCTAGCACTTACTAGAAAAAGGGTAACACATTAGGCAGCCTTGTAATGCATGACGACATACATTCTGCATCTTAATTTGTTTCTTATTTGTGTTGAAGGCTTGTTTCTCCAAAATCGATTGCGAATTTCTTCATGCACTCAGGTTAAAAGTGCTCGGTTAAGGAGGGTGAAAGCTCTGCATGAACATGTGCCTCTTGCTGGAGCTCCTGAGTCCGCTGGCCAAATTATTAGGAAACCTCACTCAAATAAACAGTCTCTCTTGGTGGCAGACAATATGTGTCTTCCAGAGCCCAGATCACTTTCCTATAGAAGAAGGGTGGGACCAGTGGGGCAGCCAGCTCAATCTCACATGATTCTGTGGAAAGGACAAGTCTCTCTGCTGGCAAACTTTATGAGTGAGTGTTTGTGAGGTTCGCCTTCCGTGTAAGAGATGCACGGATCTCGGCGCAGAGGTAACTCGGATATTGTCAATCTGAGCCCGTCTGCCCGAGTTCAGTGTGTCTGAAGTGTAGACATGGCAGAACCGTGCTGCCTGGGGAGGGGGTGTTCAAGGAAGCTTCCCACTGCACTGAGGTCCCCTTCCCTTTCTTCCTCTGCGAAACCTGCTTCCTCTTCCTTTCCCGCTCAAAGACATCCTCTTTGCGTGATGAATTCCACGTGGCGATGTAACTACGGTATATACCATAAAACCGTAACATTGAGAACAGGGTGACCCGCAGCTGGACTGAAGGCCCAACACTGTTAGAAATCTGACATGGGGGAGCAGCAGGGGAGCCGCAGATGAACAGACATGTGTTTAAAGGCACAGAATAGGGTGTTGCTTAATTATCCACTTTGGATTCTGTCTCTATCTGATGTTTTATTTCTTGTATGGTGTTCATGACACTGAAATGCCATATACTGTACGAGCAATGCAATTCTTCACCTGCGTGGTATTCATAAGTATAGCATGTGCATTCATGAGTTTCCAACAACTCTGGCAGACGGGTAAATTCATGTGACCCATCAGTACTTTTTTTTAGATTTGACATTAGTAATGCCTTCTCTCTGTCTGGCCCAAACCTTTAGGGCAGATTTTCTGTCATTGTGTAGGCAGGCCCTTTCAGATGTGCACAGTGTAGTGAAGTGAGATATTTTGCTTAGTGAACATCGGGATAAAGCGGCACATGCTCACTCTTCGTTTTTCCAGTCCATGTTTGTTGTGTTTATTGCAGTGTGGTATGTGTATTACTTTGCTTGTATGCTCATGCTTTCATTTCATTTTCATTTCCCCGGTGTCTGCTGATGTCAGTTATCTTAAATCTTTATCTGGGTGCCATTTATCTTATGACTAACCATGAATGAATATAATTATACATCATCTCTGGCAGCCAAACATCGATTTTCTTATAATTCAGGGTCACGGGGAAGCCAGAGCTGCAGGCACAAGGCAGGGTGCACCCTGGACGGGACACCGAGGGCAGAAGCACACTCACGTCAGGGCAAATTTTCCCAGAAGCCAGTTAGCCTACCGGCATGTTTTGGGGCTGTGGGAGGAAACCCACATGAGTATGGAGAGAGCTACGAACTCCACACAGACAGCCCCCCAAGTCTGGAACTGAACACAGGGCCCCAGCGCCACTGCGCCACTGTGCGACCCCATCACTGGCCGATATAGTGGCATTGAGGGTCAGGGTACTGATGCTGTGGATCAGAGACTTGTGTTGCAGAACTGGGGGTGGAAGACACCAAAGAAGCACATCAGAGCTCTCGCCTTTAATCGGGTCCTTTGAAAGTGTTCAAAGAGCATGTCATTTTGTTCTGTGCCTGCTGGCCCAGGGTGATTTGTTTCAAGATGCGTTGCCACAGAGTGAAATTGGTTCCCTTGTTTTCTAAAAGTCGCACTGAAAGTATAAAGTGACAATCGTAGCAGTAGATAATGGTAGTATAAAATTGGAATTACTTCATAGTATTAGAATCTGGCCGATGTTCTAGAGGAAAATGGAGAAAAAATTGCACAGGAGCAGAAAGCATTGAAAATCACACTTTTGGTTAATATGCATCCTCATATGTAAGTTATTTTTTATTTCAAATCTCTTATTCTTCAAAGGCTTACTTCACATTTAAAAAAAATGAGCTGTCCCCTCTGACTGAATGAGCTCAGCTTCCTCATCTTTGGTAGGCTGTGCAGAGTGAATGAGACAATGCAGTATGTGTTCAAAATGTTAAAGATGACTGGATGTAAAGAACAAAGATGACCTTCTTTACTCTTTAACTGTATCACTGTATTAATGAGGTAAGTAGGTAACAGTCTATGTAGGTGAGGAAGATGAAAAAATGAATCGAGGTTCGTGATACTGTAGGTGATTTTTCTGCATTCACTTTCTTTTGTCCGGCCTGGAACTGTACCAGAGAGCCTGTGCATTGTAATGGTTTATTTGGTCACTAGGACAGGTCTGAAGGGCAGACAGCACATATATAGTTGTACCTACTAATGCTCAGTGCAATAAGAGGGAAAGCTTTGCTCTGGATGTTCTCATGTGTTACTCATACACGTCATCTGATCCATCAACCACGTTGCTAGGCCCCATTTCAAGGACTGCAGAATTGGTATAAAGGTTCTTGGCTTTAGGATGTAAACCCATCCTCGATGAGACACTCTCAGGAAGGAAGTTCCCTCCTTTTAATATGCTTTAAACACCCTTGTCTCTTAAAGCCTCATAAACAGCTCTTAGTGTATTAGTTTTCACCAACAAGGAGAGGGCTTAAGAAATCATTCTCATGTCTGAGGCAGGACTTGTGTTTAAGATGGATACTACAGCAGTCCTAGCTTCTAAGCTGTAGGAAAGACAGAAGGAGGCAGAAAAAATCCCCAAAATAAACACCATTCATGCACTTTCTCTGCAAAGTGAATGGGAACCCAAGTCTCCGGAATGAAACATTATTAACTACATGCTCTACTGGAACAAGTAACAATTTGCTTGACCTAATAAAATCTTCACAGCATCTTGAAATCAAATGTCAGTTTTAAAGGGCAACATCACATGTAGTTTGCAGAGTATGGGCTCTCTATAGCTACTCTTCTGAGGAAATGAAATCCAGTCCAAGAACTAGAGCGTAACTCTGTATTTGAAGAAGCAGAGATGAATTCTCAATATCTGCACTGTGTAGCCATGTTCACGCACTGAATAAGGTGTGTGGAATAGGTTTTATAAGTCACCCTAAGCCATTTCCAAAGGTTGGTGTCACGATCGTAATTCCTCTTCTTAAGGCCGCTCTGGCCCTTTTGTATTTTAGTTGATTATGTGCACCTCCCCCCCTCTTCTGTCTCCTTATTTAAGCCTGGTGCTCTTGCTATTCTTGGCTCAGCACTGTGAGATGGAAGCCCGGAAGCCCGCCTGCCAGCAGGTCCAGGAGAGACCCGACGCCATAGGCTTCGTCACGGCGTCCTGACCATCCGAGTCCAAGGCTCGGAGCGCCTGGCCTCGTCATCCTGGGTTTATTCCCTGTCCCTGTTCCAGATCCCGTTCTGGATTTTAACCATGTTTTGTCTCGTCTTGGATGGATCACCCGGTTTTGGACTTTGGACTGCGCCCTGGATACCCCATTTGGACTGTCTGGATCTGTTTGGCGTTGCCACGCCCCCCAAGCACCAGATCACGGTTGTCACGCCCCCCTGTGTGTCTACCCGTCCAATCCTGCTGTACCTCCCCTGATGTCCTTCTCCACTTACTTCCGGATTACACCGTCTTCTTAGGGTCCTGAACTACGCTTTGCAGGAGCCTGGACCGGCTCCCGTTACAGTTGGGAACACTTGAAAATTGTCAGTCGATTAAACAAGTACCTTATTAAAGTAAGGAAATGCCTTAGAGCTCAATATTTTGGTTCCAAAATGCTGTGGTGAAATACTTAATTTTAAGAAATCACGCACAATTGATCACAATTAGATTGTTCCAAGTGTTCAGAAGCTGTCAGTTTAATGGTTATTTCAGAGCCTGCTAGAGAGCAGCGCTCCAGGAGTTGGGCTGGAAATGCCTGCACTACGGGAAAAAACAATCTGTTTAAGCACTTCAGAGTCCTGTTAACAAGAGGCGTCATCAATCAAGAAGATGGCTTTCATGGACTGGAGCAGTTCTAAGCCCAGGATTGCTTATTACTAATCTTGGGAATCCAATAAGAACCCAAAGCTCAACAGTGATTAATGACTGATCTTTAATGAAGTACCATGGAGCTGAAGAGAAAGGAGAATTCTTATTCTATATTAGGGTGCATTTGATAGCGAAGGAGAGTTGAAGAACTGTTTTAGTTTGTCACCAGAGGCCCATTCCAGTCTGCTGTATGGTCTGGCCAGGCCTTGAGTCCTTCACGTTTGACCCACCTGCCCGTTTCACGTGTTAAATCCAAAGCCTGATGTCAGCTTTCCATTGTGGAGAGGGAGGAAAGCTGGTGGCATCGTCACTGAGTGACAATCTGGAATGCTGCAGTTCGTGGGAAGATTTGAAGATTTGATTTAGTCCAAGCTTCTGTAATGACCTGAATTATACTTGGAGGAAAAAGAAGGAATTGGCACAGGTAGGTTCTGCAAAATCAGAAGTGGCGACACCTGAAAGTGAACAAGATCGGAGATACTCTGGCATTGCTCCTTTTAATGCAATGGTTTTTGTCTTTATTTTACTGAAAATGCTGAGAATACCCAGATGATTGTTTGCGATGTGTCAGACTGGGGGGTGTGCAGTGTGCCCCTGACGTTGCCAGTACCATCTGAGCTTCTGATTGCCAGGCGGTGGTGCATGGATGATCGGCCCTATTACGCGTGGCAAGCGGAGTGGGTTTTAGTGGACCCCGGTGGGTGGTGAGTTTGTATTAAAAGAAGAGCTCGAGGTTGCTCAGGATAGCCTCTTTGCCATGACAGCTGGAGAGCAGGATGGAACAGTATGAAGCCGTGCACGCCCTTTGGGGCTGGGGACACGTGTTTGACCCACGCTGCTGAATCAGGAGGTGCAGCCTTCTCTCTCCTGACATTTCCGCCCCTGCAGTGATGTACACTCAGGCCACACGGCATCAAAGTGATGTTTATATCTCTCGGGCTGGTAATGCTCTTCCTATAACTTCCCTTCCCATCTTTTAAGTCTTTTCCTGGGAAGAGCTTATCTCTCTTTATAAGTCCAAATGGTTGTGCTGTTAAATTAAGGAAGTTAACACTGGCAACAAATCTTAAGCAAAGATTTTATGAGGTCCTTGTGGGGTCAACACCTAAGCCATTAATCCATTTAGTTGTGTTTTTGTAACCAAGTTCACACAAACATTTGAGGTATTTTTCACATGACTGCATCATCCCTTCCTTTCCTTCTTTCCTTGGATGGGATTCCGGGTTTTTGATTCCCTACCTCCTTCCCATGGCTGACATGCACACTGTGCAGCGAGGAAAACCTGAAACAGAGAGGAGGAGAAGAAATGAACAGCGTCTGTAAAAGTCCTTCCCACAGACCTTCTTTCATCTCTATTTGCAAAGCGAATTTTCCTGTTTGTGGTGGAGCTGAGTGACGGCAAAGACAGACAAGAATAACCTGACAGAATTTAAAAAAAAAACAGAGCTGCTGGCTTCTGTGGCAGTCTGGGTATCCTGGTGACCACCCTCTAATGGACTTGTGTCCTGTCCTGGGTGTATCCTGCCTCATGTCCGTTGTCCGCCGCGATAGGCTCTGCACCATCCTATATTCGCTCATGGAAAATGGAGGGACGGTTCGGGTCAGCTTCTGATTTATCCATCTCTCTTCCCGAGGGAGGCCTCAAAGACGGGAGAGAAGCTGAGCTGTGCCTTGAGGTCCGCCACATTGCAACTTACCTTTCGGGTTCTGCGGGGTTTCTGCTGGTACTAGAACAGAGGGAAGCTGAAGCTTTGGTTGCTTCCTGCTTTCTTCCACTTTGTAAATAGATTTTTATGATTGAATGCTTGAAGTCACAGATGACACATTATTCTCAGCTTGCCATGAGTTCGCATCGCTGCCGGGAGGATAAATGTGAGCCACAGCAATTACCTGCATCCTGGTGTGCTGTGTGGGCGTTCTGCTCTTCAGTGTGAGTCATTCCATTCAAGTGCTCCAGACCATGTAGCCCACTGACTTCCATTCCTCAATATGCATTTCCTCATATCGAGTACTTTTTTTAAAGCACAATTTTCAGATTTGTTCTTAGACAGTATCGTCTGTTTATCAAAAGCTTCTGTAGGCACATTGTAACTTAGCTGTCTCTTGTTGCATTTGTAATGAAAGAAGACTAGACAGCTAAGCAACCGTATTCAAACTCAACCTGTTTGTGACAATGAAGTCACACTGCTTGAACGTACCTACAGGCAAACATGAAAACTGAACTCGCTGAATTATGAAATCCTGCCTCAAGTTTTGTGGCAAACCGGACCTGTGGAAGACGGAAAAGAACTCCAGCACACATCGCTTGGACTGACATACACAGACAATTTCATAGCCTGCAGCTTGTTTCCTGTCCGGTTCAATGTGCTGCATTTTCTCTATCCCTGTTATTAGGCTCCACCAATCAGGGTTTACGTGTTAAGCTGTCTTTAAGATGATTGGTTGTTGTTGAATTGAATAGGGGGAGCTCTGGCCTTTTCAAAATGTATGTGAGGTTTGAGGTTTGGTGGAGGGCTGGAATAAAATGAAGAAAGAGTGCCATTTGGAAAAAGCTGAAGCATGAGAGTTTTTATTCGAGTGGCTGTTAGGTGTGTTTCTGCATTTGTGGAAGGAGCGGTTGGATTTTAGTTGGGTTTTGTTTACTCTCCATCATATTTACCTCATGGCTGTGTGTTGTTTGACTTAACAATTGAATCAAATGATTGTACAATGTTTGCCTTGTCCTGTGTTGTATTTATTTGTCTCGAACACTGTGAATACAAGCCTCACTTTGTTTTTTTTTCGGCGTACCCCAGAGTGGAGCTCCTTCTGTTTTTTCCACTGTCTCTGCTGCTCTACTGAAACAGTTGCCAGCAACATCGCTAAAAACCTGCATTATTTTAACCCCGTGAGACCCAAGCATAGATTTTCTTTCGCGATTGGATCACACATTCGGAATGTCCTAATATTGTTCTTTTACGGATGGTTGTGTGGTTGGTTGCCCATGTCTAGAGTAGCTCGGGTTTTCTGAAGTACTCTCGCGCCAGTGGAAAAGCCATTGTTTGTCTCTGGAAGCTGCGGGTTTCTAGAGCTGGGGTCTTATCATCACTGGCTCAGTCTGGAGGGCCCCAGTCTGTCTACAACTCGCAGCTCTGAAATCTGTCAGTTCCATTTTAGTCCTTTGGTTGTCTAAGCAGGGTTTTCCAGTTACTCCTTTGCTTCCGAAAAGTACACTAAAAGAGTTACATGAGACAGGTCAAAATACAGGAAAAACGTTGTCTGCCTATTATACAGCATGAAAACCCTCGAGATCAGCTGTCTCCCAGTTCGTATTGGTCTTAAACTAGATTCTGCTAGATTGAAACCATTTATGTTGCTGTAAAAAATCTTGAGTTTGAGAGAGACTTTCAGAGCTGAAATGATCTGAGTTATTTAGATAACAGAGAGGGAAAGGTGTGTGTTAGGAAGGTGCTGAAACATGCTGGGTGCTTCATAGCCTGGCATGACTGTGCCCACTGGATTTCTGTTGCTGTAAAAGCCATTGGGCTTATTTTATATGGTGAGTGGTTACCTCTTAACGGGCCAGCGCACACGGTTAATTTGCAAGTTCTGAGCTCATGCTGAAGAGGTAAAAATGGAGACCAAAAAGCTGACTGTTCTTGAGGTAGTGGTACTAATTATCCAACAAGTTACATTAAAACTGCACCTTTCACCTAACTCAAAGGACCTTCTTACCGATGTCCCAACGATCCTGTAGACATCTCTGGCCACCTCTGGTGTGAGACACGGCAGCTGTTTTGTTACCAGCACATCGAACACTAGCACTAGACAGGAGAATTGCTCAAAATGGGTCTGGGTGATGGGGAGACGCAGTCCACTGCTTCCTTACAGAAAGTTACAGAAAGCTCATAGATGGCATGGAGCTCCGTGTATTTTACAAATATATTCTAGCCTTTGGACTCTTTAGAATGGTGAGATACTGATTGTAAGAGCCCTGATTTAATAAAAGAGCATTTTCACAAGAGGAAAAAGGCTCTCTTGATGCACGGGCTTGGCTGACACAGCTAATGAGGAAGGAACTTGTTTGTATAATGGGCCCTCTTTCTGTTGATGTTGGCCTTAAAACTGTTTTAATGCCATTTAATTTTTTTTGAGATGGTGTAGCTCTGAACAAGAACTGTTTTGTTATGGTAAGGCACATCCAACCAAACGCAGTGGATTGCCCATTTTATTTCCTCATCATTCCAAATTTTAAGGGACATAAAACAAGGCAAATTCCTGTTCCTTTTATTCAGATTAAAAATTTGTTGATGTGATCACAGTATGG